TTTAAATAACTTGCCCAAAGTTACACAGCAAAGAAACAAATCAAACTCAGCTCTGGCTTCAAGCACACACTATACACCTACTATTCTGATGATGTTTTTGAAGGAAACAAGAGGGGTTGGTGCAGCTTTTTAAATCAAGGTCAGATTATTGCTATTATTTTTCTATATGAGATGTAATACTTCTGTTTTGGGAATTTCAAGGAAACAGTGCGTATGAAAAAAGTTGACAAATTTTTTTTTAAGATTTTATTTATTAATCTTTAGAGGGGAAGAGAAGGAGAGAGGGAGAGAAACATCAATGTATGGTTGCCTTTCATGCATCCCCTGCTGGGAACTGGCCTGCAGGGAACCAGCCTGCAACCCAGGCATGTGCCCTGACTGGGAATTGAACCACGACTGTCTGGTTCGCAGGCCCGCGCTCAATCCACTGAGCTACACCAGCCAGGGCGACAAATTTTTTAATGCAGATTATTTATGAAGAAATATGCACATATATCAATATTTTATATTCAAATAACTTTCAAATAAAGTATGTAGTACAATAACTTTAATAATTTAAATACATGACACTGAGGTGCTAGATCCTCTACAAATTTATTTTAAAAAAACAGCTTTTCTGAGTTACTATGCTACTTTCATAAGGTTAAAAATCACTAACCATGTGCTCTCCTAGGCACTCAAGTCACTTCGATGTTTTGTTTCAGGCCAGGCCACCTCCCTCCAGATCCTTTTGTTCACCTGCACCTGAGCTCACACAAAGGCAAACTAATTAATCAAAATGCCTATAGGTGAGAGGTTGCACTCATTATTTATTAAGCATCTGCTAGTTATCTCATTGCTAGATTCATGGCGGAGATAACAAAGTGAGGACCATGGTCGCTAATGATGACAAGGGTATGTGGTCAACCAAGTTGTCCTCTCCCTGGCCATCCGTTGAGAGATCTGACAACCATTAATGTAGCAGCTGTGGTCACCCACCCAGAAGGTAGATCATTTCCACTGATCTCCTGAGCTCATACATGCCATGAGTCATGATTAAAGGAACTGTCTTGAAAGCTTCAGTAACTATGAACAAATTGCTCATTGCCAGCCCTCGTGGTTGCCCACCTGGTTTCCACCTCCCACACCATATTTGAAGTCTTTCAGAAAGAATAATTTTCAGACCTACACACTCACAACATATCCAAAATAGCAGACAAAATGAACATCGGCATTAAAGAGAAACACCTTAATCTTCATTGCTTTTGAAAGTCCCCATTGGAGTCCTACGTGGTGTGGCTCAGTGGGTTGGGTGTCATTCCCCAAACCAAAAAGTCACCAGTTCGATTCCAGGTCAGGGCACATGCCAGTTCTGGGTGGGGCCACGTGAGAGGCAACCAATCAACGTGTCTCTCATACATCAATGTTTCTCTCCCTCTCTTTGAAAAATAAACACATAAAGTCTTTTTTTTCTTAAATAAAGTCCCCACTGGGGAGTGATGTTCAGAGTTCCCTTTTCCAGTTCTGAGCCACTTTCATTATATGTGGCTAATGACAAAACTGCTACCCATTGCCTTGGCAACACATCCATGTGCTAAAAAAAGGAAATAAAAAACCTGAGGTTTATTTTAAATTTTCTAGCTGCCAGGTCTCTTACACTAAATTAGAAAATGCTTTTTAAAAGCAAGAGGTAATAATAGCCTACAAATAGTAACAGGATAATGTTTTATGAGAAGACAGTTATGAAAATGGATGAATCTATTTCTTAAATGTGAATCAAAGAGTTTTGATGCCATTCATGTTCTTTATATTATCCATTAAAATATTATTTCTGCTCTAAACTGTATACTATGATCCCTTAGTAACTTGCCGAATTTTTCAGGTGTTGAAATTTCCCATATTGAAATTTATAAATGGTTAAAGGAAATAAAATTACTCTGAGGAAGCTTTAGCTCTACATTTGAAAACAATTAAAGACTACTGCTTTAAAGCTACAGTGTGTAAATCAAATTAAAACACAAGTATAAAACTCAAGAATTTCCACATCATGATTGTACGTTTCCAGCAGAAGATAACTGTAGCCTCATAATTCAGTTATTTGTTATTTACATTTTACTTCTACATTCCTGTGGTTCTACCTTTTTCTCTTATCAAATTCTGTTGGTAAAGATAAAACAAAAGAAATAAAAGTTTTCAAAACTGGGTCTTAATAGTGAATAGCAGCAGATTGTAGATTAGCCAACTACCACAAAAGTATTCATAGCATTTTGTTTCCATGCTTCAATCTGCTGGCTAGAGCTACCTTTCACAGTTATCCCAGGATTTGCTCACAGTTTAGGAAGTGAGCTAGGCAGCTTTCCCAGCAAACAAGGCAGGGTCTGCATTTTGTTGCAACAGAAGCACATCTAGACTACATTTGGGGGCACCCTGCCAGAGTCTGCATACTTCCTCACCCTGTAATTAACTATTGCTATTACAACAGGATTCTCATCTCCAAAGGGAGCCTTTTAATGAGTTTATATGTTTATCTTATTTTCAAAAGGATTGTTTTTCTGAATCATTGAATTCTGAAAGTATTTAAAAATTATCTCAGTGTTGTTTTTTATTTATAGGGAGTATTACATAGCTAATTAATTGAATACCTAGAATACATAATGATATCTATCTGGCTTTTTTAAAAATAAGTTACCAGCCCTGACTGGTGTGGCCTAGAGGACTGGGCATCATGCCACAAACCGAAAGGTCCTGGTTCAATTCCCATCCAGGGCACATGCCTGGGTTGAGGGCTAGGTACCTGATGTTTTTCTCCCTTTCTCCTTCTCTAAAAATGAATAAAATCTTTTAAAAAATAAGTTACCAAAAGAGTATGACAGCCTAAATAATCATTACTAACAGTAGCTGAGCACTCATTATATACAATAACATACACTAAGACCTCTTATGCATCATTCAATCAATCATTCATTCATTCATTCATTCATTCAACATAAACCTATTGTCTACTATGTGCACTATTCTAGGACCTGGAGAAGAACAGTGAAGAAAACGAAATCCCCTTCATGGAGCTTATGCTGCAGCAAGAAAACTATTAAATAAGCAAAGCATAAAGCATGTATAATGAAAATAAGTGCTATGTGTTCGTGCATAGAGGTATCTCATTCAAATAAGTTGACAGGAGCAGAGACCTGAAGAAGGTGAGAAAATCCAAAACTGGGCCTCGGGGAGTGAGGGGAAATGTTTTTTAAAGATCCTTGAGCAATTATTTGTTCAGGATTTCTTATAACAACTTACCATTTAATTCTTACAGCAGGACTTCATGGTAGGTATTTTTATTGCTCCCATTTTGAAAATGTAAAGAAACTTGCTTAAAGCCACACTACCTATAAAAGGCAAGCTAAGATTTAGCCCATATCTCTCTCACTCACAAACTTTACTTTTGACCATTTTCCTCCTGTCAAATCACCCAACTACCCAAAATCAAGATCTCTACATGTTCAATATTGGTACCCTCATAATAGGATAGTCCATTACAACATTACACTTAAAAAGCAAAAAAAAAATTAATTTGAGAGAAAAAAAGTAAATGAGTTTTAGCTCAATCAAATAAATAACTGAAAAAAAGCCTCTCTACTCCCCTCTTGAGGAATGTAGATGGAGGCAGAGCAGACTTTGTAAGTTATGGCTCTGTAGGCACACACACACACACACACACACACACACACACACACACACACACACACACACGATGCCCTAGCTGGCCCTTTGGCTCTTTAATGGCAGGTACTGAAATCACCTCTCAAAGCAGTACTCTCAGAGCTGCCCTAAGAGGCCATGATTAAGGAGAGGGAGAGGAAGAAGAGGATAGGAACAGTTTGTTGTGGGAAGTCTCTATCATCACTCCCCTTTCTGTTCACTCCACTCTTTTCAACAGAATCTTAGCATCAGGATTGGATGTTTTCATTTGGGCACATAAATGACCTGGTCACTTATGATCACTGGAGGTAGATTATACCTCCAGACTGGTCCTGCTGGAATGGGAGGAAATCCTTTCAAGACCTACGACCCACATGACTTCACTGAACCACTACATTTCACAAGGACTTAGCCATGTGGCTGGCTGAGAAAGGGTGGCAGAACTATCACCATTTCCTTGCTCAGGATTGGAGCCCCTTGATTTCCCCTCACTCCCTGGAAACTCGGGTACCTGTGCATTAATGGTATCTGTAAAGATTAAAGGGCATGATTAGGAAAACGGGGAAGGGGAAAGCTATGTTCTCCAGCCATTCTTGACCTGAGTAAGTGGAGTTTTACAGTTCCTGAGTGATTTGGGGAAAGTGAACATAAAACCCAAGCAATCAAAGGAAAATTATCTTAATGCCAGGGATGCATACTTTTTTCCCTGCTTCTCAAATCCAAAGAGGAAAATCCGGACGAGTGGCTTAGGTTATAAAATACAAGGTCAAGGACCCTTGAGCTTAGTTCTCAACTTCTCAGTAGTCAGTTACGTGTGAAACATAATTAATAGCATGATAAATATAAGTTGTGGAAAATGCGAATGTCAGAGGCCCCTCCCATGGGCCTCCTACAGAGCCTGTCACAAAGAGGACTTCATCGACATTAGCAGGGCTATTAAAACATATTACCTATTAAAAGCGTGCTCTTCCCTGGCGCCTCCTACTGGAGTTTCTCTGTGTGGGTGTGTTCGTAACAGAGGAGTCAGTGAGCAGAGTGTCCTGGGTACAATGTGTATTCGTAAGAGGAAACAGATCTCAATGAGGAAGAGCATATGTTTCTGACTCTGCATCTGTGCAAAAAGTACATAGTCCCTGAAGTTGTACTAAGAAAAACAAGTACCGTATTACAAAAACATCTTTTATTTCACACATGTTATCTTGGCACACTTCCCGTCTGTTTTTTCGGCCTGACTAAATAGTTCTTTCTCACCCTCAGGTACAGGAAAACTACGAAATGTTTCGAACAGTCTGACACAAACTGACTAACCAGATATGCTTACTCACTAGGGGATCCCAGAGGCAAACAAATCTCAGCCCAGTAAGACACGTGACTCTCCAGGTCACACCTGCCCGAAGGCGGCCCCTATGCAATCCAGCGGATACCACATCCTTCGAAGGCTGGGCGGAGGCCGAGCCCCGAGGCTCAAGTTGGGCGCGAATCTGGCACGTAGTATCCTAGGCGATTCCCGAGTGCGCGCTCCCCTTGAGCACCCTCCCCCACCGCCCCGGGGGCGGGCCCAACGCGCCAGGCCCTCCCCGGGGGCGGGCCCAACTCGCCAGGTGCTGGTGCCGGTGGCTGGCTCCGCCCCCGCCCCCGCGCGGAGTGCGCCTGCCTGCTGGGAGCCGCGCCCCCTCCCCCGGGGAGGCTGTTCTCCGCGGTCCCCTGGGTCGTGCTCCCCTCTGGACTAACCTCCTACCCGCGCAGGGGGCGTGGCCGGAGGCGGGGCCGAGGTGGTGAGGCGGGGCTCGCAGCAGTGCGCCGAGCTCCGCTGCAGCTTCACCGGCGGGTCTCGTGGCAGGCGGGCGGCTCGGTCGCTTCCTTAGGTCCCATGGCAGCCCTCAGCACCCCTGCTGAATGCGGCTACATCCGGACGGTCCTGGGTCAGCAGATCCTGGGGCAGCTGGACAGCTCCAGCCTGGCTCTGCCCTCCGAGGCCAAGCTGAAGCTGACGGGGAGCAGCGGCCACACTGGCCAGGCGGCCAAGAGCCTGCGGATCCAGGAACAGGTGCAGCAGACCCTGGCCCGGAAGGGCCGCAGCTTCGTGGGCAATGGTGAGTGGAGCTCCGCCGCCCCCCCGGCACCACCCCGACACCCCCCCCTTCCACTTACCCTACCCACTGCCTCACCTCTCAGCTCCCGGTTGCTTCCATTCGCTGCTTCCCGAGGGTGCGAGACCTGGGCTTCTGCCCACCTGTTGCGGTCCCTTTGTACGAGCCGCCGCGCCCTCCCGGCTCAGACCCGCTTACTTGGGGAAAGCACTCTTTTCTAAAATAATCGTCTACTCAGCTTTGTCATATATGTATCTAGGTGTGTTAAACGCACATACATATCTATATGGAAGAATTCAGTCCACGATTTTCACTCCTTCCTTAACCTGCTGCCCTCGTCCCCTTCCCTCCTCCCCACGGGTCTTAATCTGGAGTCTCCGGGAGTCTTTAAACACTTCGAAATTTTATGCAGAAATTCGAGGAGAAAGCACCCCTAGCTTTTATTAGCTTTTTGAACATTTTGAAAAAGAAAACTTAGAAGTACTGGCGCACCCACAAACTGTAAATTGGGACTACGGTGCCTCGCTCACGTACGTCGGGGCGCTCCATCCAGAGTCAGGAGCGAGGGGATGATCTAGGAAGTGAAAAAATCGACTAGGAAGCTTTGAGCCAGGGAGCTATCACGCCGCCCCAGGGAGGAAGAGGGGGAGGAGGAAGGGACTTTGGCCCCGCTGGCCCAGCACCCCAGCCCGCACCCCTTCAGCCAAGAGGTGAAAGGGGTTTTCAAATAAGTAAAATACTATATCAGTAATTGGTAGTTAGGGTGTAATTGATGAAGGGTGAAGCAGTTGACAAACTATTATTGTTGTAAAAATTAGAAGACATGAAATATTTTCCCCTGCTTAAAGCCAGATAATCAGAGCCACACAGTTTCTCCTTTATTAGTTAATTAATTTATTTCCATTATAAAAGTATTATAAGCTTATGATAGAAGAGTTAAGAAATTGAACAGTTAGTTAAGTTGGGGTATCAGTTTGTTTCCTGCAGTGTTGAACAGTTTCTCTAGGAAGCGACAGGGCCAGGGCCCATGGAGAAGGAAAACGCTGGCAGACCAGACTAGAAATTTACAACAGCAAACCCTGAGAGGATGTATTGTTTTCAACTTCTGTAAAAGAATCCTAAAGGATCAGGCAGTCAGTATTTATATATTTGAAAGATAAACAGAGATGTGCAATGACTATAGTTCATGTAACTGCCTACTTTGTGCCAAGAATTGGACTATGTGGTTTGTGTTCATTCTGTCATTTTACCCCTCCCCCCAAATAATCCTTGTTAGATAAATTCTTTAATCTCCATTTTACAGATGAGGACACGAAGCAGTTAGGTAAAACTCAGGTTCTCACAGGTAGCAGAACTGAATTTAAACTTATAAGCCTGAATTTTTAAACCACTCTTCTGTTACATTGTTGAGCTTTTTGGTTAGTAACACAAAGTGGAATTTATATTAGACATCAAGCCCCCTCCCATTTTTCCCTAAATGCAGTTGAAGTGGTTCTGAGACAGTGGGAGATCTAGATAACACAGAGTTGATATGGTGCAGGAAAAAAAGGAACAAACCTGAATTTACATTTATGAGGCTAACTAACCACTGCAAGACAATAGAGGTCAATTTTTGACCAGTGGAGTCACTGCATCCCTTTAGTGTGTGCAGAACCAGTGCACAGACCAAAAGCTGGAACCAAACTAGCTTTTCTGCTTGGGGAGATACAGGGATGCACATCAGATCTTCATTCGTACCCTCTGAGAATGGCTAGCCAGAAGGAGCAACCAGACATCAACTATTCAGTAAATGGGGTGAATGATCAGAAGGAAAGGGAGCACTGTCGAGCATCTACTATGTGCCTAATCCTGTTCAAGAAGATGTGTCCATTTTATTTTATCGTTAGAGCAATTATATGAGATGGACACAGGGAGTAATTTCACATACGTAGAATGTGTTGGTCTCTCAACTTTTATTGGATACTAAGTCCCAAACCCACACATGATCTGTCCTCTCTACAACATGTACATTCATGTTGCTTCAAGAATTCAAGAACAGTCTAATGGGTCTGTGCTTCATACAGAACACTGTAGGTGCTGAATTAAACATAGACTCTGCCTGCTTTAATGCAAGGAATTAAGAGTCTGAAGAAAGAAACCTCTCTCTAAAAAATGCATTACCAAATTAAAAAATGGTAAGTGACACTAAAAAAGAACAGCTAATGCATTGTGGAGTTTAGAAAGATGAATTAGACCCCTTACTGAAGGGAATTTTGAAAAGCTTCTAGAGGGATTGAAATTTTAGATCCCCAAAAGTCAGTAGGATTGGACCTAGGAACATGGCCAGAGGGAAGAGCATTTTAGGCAGAAATAGTAGAAATACTTCATAGTTCATGGAATTGATGTGGTAGAGCAAAGGGCATTGTCACCGTGCTTCTGCTGTAATGCTAAGGGCAGCTGGTTAAGTGGCTCTTCAAATGAAGGAACAAAGTGTTTGAAATATTTTGATTGCAACAGGAGCTTCCCAGCAAGCTGAAATACACTCAACAGCGTGCACAGAAGTGCAAGTCAGGCAGAGAGATAAAGCAGCAAACAACACCTACTTACTTTAAAGCCTCAGCTTTCTGAGGCTCAAAAAAGTAATCGGCTTGAAAGGAATTTAACATTAACGTGCCATGGAACAATTACCAGAGGTGATTCAAGTATGTTGTTTAATTAAAGTTCTTTGAAAAGGTCTAGGGGCTCTTGATGGTTTTGAGTATTACGTTTAGTATTTCCTTATTACTATCCTGTCTCTAAAGTTGAAACAGACAAGCAATTGTTGAAACAGTGCATCTGGAAAGAATCCTGTATCAACAGAAGAAATTCTGGGAAGGAATGACCCTGGTGTTAATTGTTGTTAGCTCCAGGGCTCTGGAGAATTCTGAATTGTTGACATACCTGTACGATTGAGGCAGCAGATAATCTGAAAACAGATGAGATATATGGGGCTGAATTGTTGATAAATACCTTGCAAGGATCTTTAACCCATCAGTTTCCCTCTACTGCCTTAATATAGGTGGGTGGTGTTCATTGTAAATTGCTCTAACTTTTGTTATTTTAAACTGTGCTGAATGGGTTTAAAGTTATCTGTAACTCATGGGGGTGGAGGCAGAGGGGCATAGCAGCATTGTGAAATGAGTCTGTGTTGTAAGGAATTTTTCAAATCCTTTTATAAAAGTCACAGAGAAGGCACTTAAGAATTGCAAGTATTAGTGAAAGGGAATTTTAAAGTGTCCTTATCATAGTTATTACACTTACTTCTAAAGTACTACCACTTTACATATTACACTGTCCCCCCCCCCCGCCTGTTGTAGGAAGAAAGTCATGTTTTAAATTATATATAATACATAAAAAACAGAATGAACCATATCATAATAAAATTTGCAACTTTTTTGAAATCTACCATAAGACCTCCAGGCATGCAATTTACTTCGACAGTTTCCTTAGCCAATATCTTTTGAATATCTGTGATCAGGTGGAATTCTGGAGAAAGGACTGAAAACTGGCTAAGGTACCAAAAAAGGTGATTAATAGGTGTTACAGGGCGGGGGTGGGGTGAGGGGGTGGGAGGTTAGACATTGTTCAAACCCGGTGTGAAACAATTCTTTGATTGCCAAAAAGGAATTCCAGTAATGAAGCAATTCTGGAAGCAAGGTGACTAGTCATTCAGAAAGTAAGAGATATCAAGAGAGGAGAGGGAAAAAAAAAAGTTCAGTGGTGGGATGGTAGGAACATGACCATGCTGCTCTGAACACAAAGTGTCACTAGTGCCACCTGATTTCATGTACCCCCATGTCTGCCTGCCCATGGCCCAGCCCCTTTTTGTCCAATGTCTAGCAAATCACTTGCAGTGAGTACCAAAAAAAGAAGAAAGTGTGTCTCTTTTTAGGGGTAATTTTGATTATTCTTAGTCAAAGGAAATAAGAGTGTTAACACAATGGTGATTACAAATATGAGATCTCTACCCCTGGAAATGGTTAGAACACGTCTTTTATGGGTGAGGCCTGAGTCAGGCAAGACCTGGTAAGGAGAATCTGTGGAACTGATTGTAATAATGGAGTTCTTTGCTCTATGTGTCGCATAGAGAAGTTAAAGAGAAGAAGACTGTCCCCTTAAGCTTTCAAAAAGACTTTTTGAAATGTCATCTGTGTCCTGTGCTAGTGCTTCCAGTCCTTAGGGATAGAGGGCGGCTCACGTGAATTAGCTATTCTAGGTATTTGTTTTTCACATCACCTCCTTCTCCTAAAGGGTCGTTTTGGGTATCAGCTTTAATTGTTTTCCCAGGCATTAAAATAAGGCTATATGTATTTATTTTATCTACAAATAGTTAACATTGATTTTACACTAAAATTGAATTCCTGGGCTGACCAATAATAATTATTAAAGCTTTATTTTTTTTCTTTTCTGAAAGAACACACATATTATTGGCAACCTATCAATGATACTAATGAAATACAATAAGACATATGTTGTTCAAACCTCTAATATCTAAAAATCGAACATGATTGATTCAGCCTATAATAAGATCAGTTTGCTCTATCTCAGACGACACTCGGGAATTTTCAGTTATACACTTCTGAGATAAATGTTTCCCAGCTACTTTGTGCGTGCACACAAATGTGTGAAGACACAGATAGCACACTTCTCCTGGGGAAGTAAGCAGTTCGAGGCAGTGTTGCAAGGCGGGGAATAGATAGAGTTACGGGAAAACCTAATCTTTGTACTGGAATGAGCCATCTCACTCCCCTGCCTTATTAGAGTAAGAATGATAGAATTTCAGTCCTCTTACAATAGAAATGTTAAGAAATCTATTGTGTATCTTTGTGTGATGTAGTTAAAGGTGATTGGATATTGGACATAAAAGCAGTTATTATGTTGTTATGAGCTGGGGAACCCAATATGTAGCCTTAGAGAAAAATGTGTATTTACAAAAAAGAAAACATAATCGCCATTACCATGAAAAGAATTCACATATTTTTACT